TTCTTCCTAACCATCTTTGCCCAAAATGGTGTGGAATTACACAGCACGTGAGAAAAGTGCAATTTCTTTTCATTCAAGATCTAATTATTTGAGTAACAACAGTATGATGTGAAACACCTTTCTGTTGATTAAAACCACACCAGGTATTTTGTTAGAAATCTGGCACAGGCATTTGTGCTATGCATTGAAATGCAAGCATGTTGATTTTCACTAATACCTACAATGTATGTTGTTGACAAAACCTTTGTGACACATGGATTTAGCTTTTTTTCTAAATAAAGTAATATTAAATTAAGCAACAAAGCTAAGGCTGTTATTTGTGAATGTAAGCGCTGTGTTCTGCATTATCTTCTTGGAGTCCTGGTGTGTCTGGTGATCTTTGTCCAAGAAGGGAATGTTGTGCTAAGGTTCTTCTCCTGGAAGAGGTAGTTTACTTACTGACATGCCACAGAAACAGGCACGGTTTCTTCAGCAGCCAGCCCAGTGTTGGGGCTTGGTTAGGAACGTATGACTAAAACAAGTAATATAGAATTTGTTAATACAATACTGTGGTAATGTAGTAAGCAACTAATATCTTGTTGGACTTCTGAATATTCTTCTTGAATAGCAACCAAGACCACTAGGATTTTGCAAAAATACCTTCAGTGATTATGATTTGAATTAGCTTTAAGAAGAAAGTACCAATATTTCCAGGTTTGGAGAGACAAGTAAACTCATTTTTAAATATTTCTTCCTGAAAGAGAGACAGCTGAATGCATTCCAGTTTTGCTGTTAGATTTGGAATGCAGTATATTAATTAGGGAACACACAAACTATTCTCAGTGAGTAGACATGTGTATTCTGATGGATTATCCTTGACATTGAAGAATTTCTTTGGAAACTTTTCTTCTTAAAAATAAACATAATAAAGTGGGGTTGGGGGGAGAGGAGAGGGAATTATTAAAAAAAAACAAAAACAAACAAACAAAAAACCTCTTTCTGTTAAGACTAGATTAAAAAGCATGGAAAACGTAGTCAGCTCCTGCCTTTTTTGAGCCTTTCTAAAAATATCTAATCTGAATTTTAAGAGAAAGTAAGCATTTTTCAGTGATTACAAGAAGCAGGAATAAAAGCCTTACCCAGGTTCATCCAGCCCATGGCCCGGCCCAGCTGGCTCTGCATCCCAGCTGCTGCCCAGTGGCCCAGCAGTGCCCTGAGCATGCATCTACTGCTTCCTCGCAGCCAAATGTCAGTGTGCGATGATGTATATTTGCAATTCCATTTTCAGTTGACATAAATGCACAAACTGGGCATTTTCAAATGGAGTGTACAAAGTTGCAACCAGATATTCAAGTCAAAGGTTTGACCGTGTCTCTTTACTTTTGTAAGCCCTCTCTTACCGTAGAGAAACTCTCCATGCTTCACAATTAGCCTTATTCATGTCATCACTTTTTGGCAGCGCAGGTGTTTGGGGACAACTGTTGTCATGGATGAAGTGCTGCAGTAACATTACACCAAAAATCGCAGACAGACTCCTTGAAAGCTCACAAAGATTTGCAGGCATTGCCACTGAACGATCAATGATCGATGCATTAGTTTCACACAAGCAGGGTTATGTATCCCACTAGTTCTGGGTTTTTGTTGCTCTCCTTTTTTTGCTTTAATGTCCTAATATTTTAAAAATATTATAGATTGAGATTAGTTTTGTTACTTATATACGTGAACTACATTATATATTTTTGGAGAGCTCCAAAATTAATGACTGCTCTTTTATTATGTTGACCTACAGTGTCAGAGGCGGATGTTGGTGGTACAGTGCTAAGAGTTGAACCTTACCACCAATATTCAATTCCTTGTTGTTGCTGTGAGACAGATGGCAGCAGAGGGGCGCTCTGACAGAATGGCATCTGGCATGGAACTGTATATGAAGCAAAGGTGTGTTACCTTAAATGCCTCCATGAGGAAGAAAAATGGCACTAGTTGACATTCATCAACACTTGCTGAACATTCCTGGAGACCAGAAAGTGGATGTGAGCACACTGAGGTGGCGTGTGGTGCATTTCGGTAGTAGTGACAGGGGTGCTCCATTGCTGGTGCAGATCTTGACAAGCATGGCATGCAAGCTCTTGTTCATCACTGGAGAAAGTGCACAACTAATAATGGTGACTGTGTTGATAAAGACTGTTTTGTAGCTGGGAATTTGCTCTATCAAATGGCATTATTGTGCTCTGAAGCTGGTGCAGTTTCCATGGAAATATATAGGAGGCATTACTTTTGGAGCATCCTTTGTCTGTGCAGCACAAAACTGTTCACTGGATGTGGCCCAGGTAAGCCAGAAGATTGGACACTGATGCCTTGTAGAGTTTTTCCATGTAATTACAAATAGTAGGATAAGTCTGTAATAAGGCAATGTCTTTACTGTGCTAGAATTTGGTAAATTGCTTCTGCTTAAAATCTGTAAAACATTAAAAAACCACGCTTTTCTGAAAAAAAGTTTTATATTTGCCTTGACCTAACAACTTGCTATTACTCATTTTTGTCAGTTTTCATGTTTCTCAGGTTTCTTATTTACTCCCTTAATTTCAAGGCTTTCCTCACTTTGGTGAAAACAATTTCCATTTTTAAAACTTGCTTTCAGTTTAAGAAAGTGATTCCATCTCTGTGTATAGTCAGATGTTTTGGTATGTAGCAGTTCTTGAATTTGAGCCAGTTGTCACGCCAGCAACTGATGCTTTCTCTGTCTGTCTGTGCTTTTGGAGATGAATGATTAATTAGAAGTGAAATTTGCGTGTAAGGGTAGGCTGAAGCTGTATAAAAGTCAGCCTTGGACAAATTGGTTTTCCTTAACAATTGCTAGGTTGTTGGTGAGTTTTGCCAAACAAACATTTGCTTTTTTTTTTTTTTTTTTTTTTTTAAAAAATTAAGTAAGACACTGAAGTTCTAATTAAAACTACTTAGTGAAAAGTAGCATATTATCTTATACAGCAGTCCTTACCAGTGAAGGTTAAAGTATGTTGGGTGGTACCCTGAAAGATGTATCTGCATAGGTTCAGTTTTCATGTCAGCTGCTGTTTTGGTTATCTAGTTCTTCAAATCCTGAAGTTTTGTAGTAATGTGACAAAATATTAGCGCAGAGCTACGGTAATGCAAGAAGGCAGCTGACACACTTTCACTTATTTTCTCTTTAGTTCATTTTCTTTGGGGATTAGACAGGAGAATTTACTGCATCTTGAAAAGAAAAATAAAAGGAGGACAGAACTATTTTAACTGACAAAAGCTATTCTAGTTTATGAATCTGCCTGTCTGTCATAGAAAATAATTTGAAATGTTACAAAGCTTTCATGTGCAACGATGGTACAGATTCAATGTGAATTCTGATTGCCTGGAATGCAGTCAGCCTGACAGCATGTGAATACTTGAGCACTGTCCAGTAACTGCACTTGTGCTGGGAGAGCAGTCTCCTTGAACTTCCATTTTTTCTTCTTGGTTCACTATCTAAAGCTACCTGTGAGAAATGCTTCTCTTAGTTGGATGTGCATGCAGCCTTTGACATGGCTTTGTAGCCTTCTGTGACCTGGATCACTAGTAATGTTGGCTGAGGCTGTGTGCTGGTTTGCATTCTCCTCCTGGCTGCATGGCAATTACCGTGATTTAGTGATACCCTTGCAGTGCATTACTGTACTGGCTTCTGATGAGGCAGCCATATGCACTCAACCTTTGTTGCCTTTGCCCCATTGTTAAACAATGGGATGTCTGGAAAGCTTGTAATGTAAGTCACTATCTTAGAATAGTTGCTCTGCTGTTTGTTTGTTTGCTTGTTTTTATTCTGCAATTGTGTGTAAACAGACAAGGAGGGAGCCTTCTAAAAGTAAGGAGAGTGAAGAGCATTGGATTGAGTCAGAACTGATAAAAGGCTTGCTACTGAAGCTTAGTGGCCATTGCTGAATGGAGCTGTCTCCCCGTGTAGGCTTTTTACCTATACTTTATTAAGTCTTTCTGAAAATCAAAAAACAAAATGTGAAAGAGGGGCATCTTTAACTGTATTTAAAGCATAAACAAAAGGTGATTGAGATATGCACCATCATGCTTTAAAAAGACCTTTATCTTTTCTTTCCCTCTAAATCTTTCCTCCTTGTTGCAAATGAGAGCATTTGACAGTCTTGAGATATCTGGGAATTTTTGCTTTGGATATGCACTGGCAATGGCTGAGAAGGTCTGACGTTAATTGGGAGGATGCAGCAAAACCTGTCAGTAAGTTTAAATTCGTGCTAGTAGAGCTAGCTGATCAGATAAATCAAAAGCTCATTTACTGAATTAATGTGCTAAAAATTCATGTGGCTTACGTTTTGTCCTGCTTTATTTAACAATCTGCCTGTTTACATAAGTCATCTTTCATTGTTAATGGGTGTCAGAGCTCTAACTTGCTATGGGACTGCTGGAAAAATGTGTGGAAAAGTGGCACAATAGGAAGAAAGTTAACAGAAGTAGGTGTTAATATATCTTTATTGAATCTGTTTGACTTTTTTTTTTTTTTTCTTCCAAGAACTAATTATTTTCAAACGATCACTTTAAAGGCTGGGAAAATCAAATGTTGCATAGCCGTATGACTTCTAAGAAATGAGACACTTTGTTGTACGCAAGCCAAGTTTTGCTGCTAACTGGTTACTGACAGCCAGTAGTAATGCAAATACAGTGCAGGAACTGTGCAGCTGACTACAATGTTTAATTTATACTGACTAATGAAATAAAGAACATTTGACCATTGAGACACTTAAGATTGAATAAACTGTTTTATAAAGTGTGAGACAAATTTACAGTCTGTAATACAGTAGAGGATCAAGTTTGCATGTACTGTACTTATTTTTATATTTCTAATTTTGTGGGTTTTGGTGATAGGATTTTACTAGCATTGACTCTTTTGGGCTTATTTCCATATGCTTCAAGCTTGACTTTTTGTTTTTTAAATACTAATGGCTTGTTTTTTTGTCCTGGTACCTGTGTTCAGCTATGTGCTCAACTTAGTGGCTGTGGAAGGCCTCTCTGTCAAATCAGCTTCTAGCTTACCCTTGTCAAGAGCATCTGGTGAGTTTTATTAATACTTGGTTTCTACAGTGAGCTTTAATGCTTAGACCAGCCTGAAGTTCAGAGTGTCATGCCATCTTTAGTGATGGTGTATAGGATTGTTAGCTTGTGGGAAGTATAAGCAACTGCACCTAGTGTGGTGTTAGGATGTCATATACCTGCTGACCAGTCACTTGTGCCACTCAGCTTAGTCTTGACCATGGAATAATGGCAAATAGAATGTCTGTGTTAACAATCTGTTAACGAAAGTGTCAATCAGTGATCATCCTGAATTTGTCTGGAAAACATGAGAAATTTTGTAAAGAGCTTTATAGTAAGCAATTGATTACTTGCCTCAGTTGCCTCAGTGAAGCACTTGCCTTCCTGCTTATGTTTGTGGAGTACAATGCATCATTTGGAAAGTTAAAAGCTAGTATTAGTAAAACACTTGTTTGCATATTTACACAGCTGACCTTGGTAACCACATTAAGTGTGACTTGTGCTTCAAGACAACTCTGCTGAGCATGGTGATTCTGAAAGCTCAGAACAGGGAAAATCAGTAGCCTAAATGAATTGTTTAACATACTAGCTACGTGGAGGAAACATGGGATGCTTTTCTTCTGTTATGACCAATGACAACTGTGCCAGCTGACTGTATTGCTGATGTACATGCAGAATGACTGTCAGTTCTGCCACTGATTTAAGGTGTAAGCTGAAACCTTGCAAACTGACTGTTAGCGTCTCATGGTTAAAATATCTAGTAGTAATATACTGTATCAGTGTCTGGATTTAGAGTAGCTGTACTACACAGAAGTGTGAAAATTCAATTTTACTTCTAGAACAGAGGGATAACAAAATGTGTAACTGTGGTGTTAAATTTTTAGCTTTTCATTATTGCAAGTCATGATCTGTGAGATAACAGTCACGCAGCTTTCCTGGTCAAATCTACATGCATGAACTAATAGAGATGACTTCAGCTGAATATGCTACTAATGTCTGAATGATAGACAGTGACTAGAAATAGGGCTTGATGTAACAGATGCCTTGGCAGTCTGATTGGATAAGGAAACTGAGGATAACTTGATTAGTGCGATTTAGAAGTTTTAGAAGCCGTGTACTGCTTAGTTTTACTGATGATTTTCAGTGACCAAACTTTACATTATGTATCCTGGCAATAATTTACAATCTTAATTTTTAAGTAGTTACGTAGATGATAAATATAAGTGGCTACTTGTTGGCAGGAGTGAATCTTTTTAGGAGTAAACATGAGTTCAACTCACTGAGTAAGATATACTTGAAGACAAAAGGGGTAGTAAGATGCTGAGCTGACCTTTATAGATGAGAGACTGGAAGAAAAGTGGGGACGGGACGACTTCTGAGATAAGGTATAGGTCAAAGAGCTCTGTGGATTTCTGAAGAGGTGTGTTTAATGAGGTTGTAGTCTGAATGACTGGCATCTCCCTCTTCTATTATCTGTTTTCAGAAGGTTTTAGTGAAGGCATGAAAGGATAGATTTCTCCATTTATGAAAACTTTGTTTTGCTTTGTACAACAGGCTAGCAATCTAACAGCTATCTTGTAGACTTTGAAAATGCAAAAGCATTTAAAGCTATGAAGTGAACAGTTGCTTGTTCTGCCCTCTCCCTTTCTTACATCCTAATTTCAGTATTAGCAATTCAGCATATCTGACATTATTTTTTAGAAAGTGCTGACTTTTCTGTTAAAAAGAAGGTTATTTGTCAGACTGCGCTTTATCGAAGCAGAAGCTATTTCTGTTATGTCTTCGAGGCTCCATCATCAGTGATTAAAAAGAGAAAAGACTTTTTATGCAAGCAATAAGCAGATTTATTCATGGGGTTAAATATGCATTGATTAACTCATGTTACAAATTAATCTTGTTTTATTTTAAGATATAGTGAAGTTTTGTCTTAATTGTCTTAATTCTAATCAACAGGCAATAAATGGCATAATTTTAAACCATTCTCTTTTGGAAAAAGTCTAAGTGTTTGTTTTCATGTCCTTTTTCTGCAAAATAGTAAATTGGTGTGGTACCCAGAGTTGTGAACAACTGAGTTTTATTTTTCTGACTGTATCTTGTGCTGACATGGGGATAAGATCTGGGATGCACTGAAGAAAGGATAAGATTCTGGTGACAAATGTTGCATGGGCTTGTTAGGCACTTCTTTAGACAGAAGTACGAAGAGGAAAGAGAAGAACTGGCTGTGTTGGTACAGCCTGAAGCTATAAGGGCTAGAAATTGTTAGGGATAGGAGATACATGTAAGCACTGGAAATGTAGGGATAATGTGAGCATTGTAATCTTAATAGCAAAGAGATCCAGTTTTGTGGGATAGGGTTTATTAAAAGGGAGGATTTGTATATGCACCAGGGATCAAGAAAGGGTGCTGATGTCAGAAAGCTGAAGACTCTCAGAGGGGAGAGTAAGCTTGAGAGGACTGAGATGGCAATAAGATCAAAGCAGCTACTCCCTGATTACTCAAAGTATGGAATGATAGCTAGTGAAATGCTAGGCAGGATAAATGAGAAAAATGTGAATCATGGATATGCACTTCAGTGAATCCCTGCCTGTTATGAGCTCCATCTTCCCCTCCCTACTTGAATGACAAAAGGAAGTTAACTAGTAGAGATAAAGTATTGAGAAACATCTACTGAAAAGAGGAAGCAGAGGAGGATGACTGTGCAGTGAGACACTAAGCTGTGATTTTAGGAAGTAAAAGGAGAACCACAGAAGCCAGTAAAGGTCAAAAGTGCCGGGAAAGGAGTCTTCTGCTTATGGAGATACTGAAAAGTGAAGCAGTCCAAGTCCTGATACGTGTTCAGAAAAACCTCCAATGGAGGCCTGAGTGAGAGCTGTTCCAGTGAGGGGTCACTTTGTTGGAACCAGCAAATACTTGATGGTAGACCCACACTCCAGACAACAACCTCAACACAATTATTTGGCCATAAGAGAGAGAAGGCAGGGATGTGGGGAAGGTGGCAGTTTGGGTTAATGTGAGCACCTCAGGTAGAAGTTACATGGATTAATGAAGTAAAGTAAATCAGCGTAAGAGTGAAGAAGTCTGTATAGCAAGGCACAGCATGCATGGAGGTTTATAGGTAGGCACAGGGGGGATAGCTTGTAGCTGTGTTTTGTGCCAGACCAGCATTGCCAATTGCCCTAATGAGGAAATGTGTCCTAAGTCTGAGTGTGGGTAGCAAGGTGTGAGCGAATAGGGAAAGAAGTGAAAGTGGGTCCCCATATCTTGTGCTGGGCTGCTGCCAGGTGATGCTGCTGTGAAAGATGTGCTTGCAGTGAGGACCAGACAAGGGAATGCTACAGAGGTAGACTGTGACTTGGTTTTCACTGAGTGTCTTGTTGCACGCAGTGCGAGCTGACTCCATGCAGACTGGAGGAACCTCTGACCCACCTGCCTCAGCCCCTATAGGGCTGGGGGTATAGGGCTGGGGGCTGCCCACGCTGCTCACAGCTTCTTCATGGCTTTTGGTCAGCTGTCTTCCCCACAGAATTTGTATGCATCTGTGTGTAAATGAGGCTTGTTAGAAATACCTGCTGTAGGGATTGAGTATCAGTGTCCAGTGTGGTGGCTGCCACTCAGGGAGGGGCTCTGTTAGCTCCAGCTGTTCAGATCCTGTTTTACTGGCTGATGAAACCTGGACTTAGGTGTAAGGGTGCTGCACCAATGAAAGCCTGGGACTGGTGAACTAAGGTCCCTGTAAATACAAGTTGAAAGCTCAAATGCAAGCCTAGTGTCTGTCTTTCTAAGGCTGGTAACCTTGGGTTACCAAACAGATCGTAAATGACAAAGACCATAAAACTTTACACAGAGAGAAGTAGAGAATTTGAAACTGTATTTCCAGTTACAGTTTAGCAGCGTTATCACCTTATTCCCCCTTCCTTTTTTGAGGGAGTAGGCACATTCCTCGTTGACCAAACCCGCTGCTGTAAGAGAACTGCTGATGCGGCAATGCAGCGTGGTCATAACGCTTCCTTGTGAGGCTGGGAGTTGTTCTCCAGGAGCTGTTCCAGCAAACGTGCTCCCTCTTGTCACTGGATGAACTCCTCCAAGGACAGGCTGCAGAACAGGCCTATCAGAATAAATGTATTCCATTGTGAAATACTCTAGTCATGAATATGGTAAATGAAATAACTGACTCATTTAGTGTGCCATGACTCATTTACTGCTCTGTGCCTCATTGTGTAACTCTTAGAACAGAAAATACGTATTGCTGTGCTCAAACATGTATTTTGAAAAGATTTTTTCATGATTGTCATTTTCAAACTTTACCCATTGTGTGTCATTCACCCTGAAGCCATGTGGATGGTTTAGGCTGGCTTAAATGCGGGCTGCTGTCAGAGAGACACAGTATTTCTCGAGCTTGCACCTAGTGCCAGGGTTTGTACATGTGTGCAGTGAGCTGGAGAATTGTCCTGCTTGTGAACTTAAATCTTGCTTGGTAAGTTTTACCTTGTTTACTGGCCTCGTGAATGCTGCTGTTGATTCAAGGGAGAGATATTGGGAGAAGGGGTCATTAAGAAGGGAAGGACTCTTTCTGTGTCAGTCACATTTAGATCAGTTTAAAGTTTTCTTGAAGTCCTGACTGCTGCCTGGAAAAGAGATTGCTGCTGTACTTAGGAATTCGCTTTTGTCAGAGGCATCCTGACTGCTGAGGGTCTGCAGCATGACCTCTCCCTGAGCTGTGACATCAGACAGGCCTATGTGCGGCAGTCACCTTCCTTCCACACATCTTCTCCCGGCAGTCTTCCTTATTGCAGAACCTTGATTGAGAAAGGAGTCATACTGCCATATCTATCTTGTGATTAAAAAAAAACAAAAAAAAAACAAAAAAAAACCCCAGATGTTTATTTTAAGAGTACAGGAAAGGGAAGGAAATACCTAACAACTTGTTCTGCTCATACATGTTCATTTCTTTATGCATCCGTATAGCTCTTGCAAAAAGTGCTTTTTGTCTTTGAAGTTCATGTGTTACCTCTTCTTCTGAGGCAGTACTAAGCTTCAGCATACCTTTGTTTAACACAGGCTTTCAAGGTGATTTTCCCCATTATTGTGCAGTTGTTTAACCAGATAACATATTCCGTGTTTTTTCTCATTCATAGCTGTTGACAACATTAGTAAAGCAAGTGTTCTTGTTTTTTGGTCTGGTCAGGCCTCTGAACCAACACATCTAAGAATGAGCTGGAGTCTTTTCTTTGTTTCTTTGAGCTTTGATCAGTTGCACCTTAACTGTCACACTGATGGCTGTGGGGTCATGATGGTACGTCATAGACTTCAACCAGCTTGCATGATATTTGTTACTGGTCAGAATGCATGAAAAAGAAACAATGGAGCACAACCTGGATCTCAAGCAGTTTGTAGGGCTGGGAACAAGGGAGGAAATAAACCTTATTGCTTGTAAACTGAGCACTTTTGATATGGACCTCACTGACAGTCTAAAATAGTTTTGTGGGGTTCCAGTATCATTACTGCTTCCCCAAGAATAGCAGTTGAGCAGAATGTTGCTACTTCAATATAACTTGGACAGTGTGCAGGTTTCAGGATAGCCGCTCCTGTTTGTGAGGGATATTACTGAAATGATCTGTCCTCGGGACTGGAATAAAACAGATGCGTGAACTATTCCAGATGGAATGAAGTAATGCAGAGCTAAACTTGACCGTAACTGATGAAGGGAAGAAGGGCATTGGGAGCCCTGTTGTGTACTTTGGTGATGATGAGACAATTTTTAGGGCAGGAGTGGCTTTTAACCATAAAGAGTGATATCATGTGGAGTTATGCAGGTCAGCATGGGCTAGGATACTCTGGCTTTCTCAACTGCTTGCACAGAGATTAAAGCTTACCACTGGCTCGCTTTCAAGAGTACTGTTTCAATGTGGAAGAAGTGGTCTGGGTTGCTCACTTTTTAGAACTCTCTACAGATCTGCCTGGAGGATTGTGGCTGACTGTCTCCAGTCTAAGGCATGTGTGAAACACAGCTCTTACATGGTACTGTGCTTATGCAGGGAACTTTCCTGGTTGTCTTCTGCTGGAAAGGAGGCTGCGTGACCTCCAATCCTATCTGAAGTGTGTTGTTTCCTTCCTTTGCTTCTGTAGGTGGTGTTTGTCATTAATGTGCATGTTTACCCATGCTCCTAAATGAAACAGTTTCTCATTTGAGGATGGTAAAGCTACCCATCTGTTATCTTTTCTGCTTTACTGCTACACTATTAACACTCATGTAAAATTAGATGACTCCTTTCCATCATATCATATTTTAGACCGAAGGTGAGTGTTTAACATGATACTTTTGAGAGATGACCGTGATTTCCGCAAGCCAGGTTTATTAAAGAAATGTGTTTATACCAGCTCAAACTCTTGTCTACTTAGTGAATGAAGAACAGTCAGGTATCAGTCCTTCAGTTTCAGTCACAAATAGTTTGATTTCATAGTTGTCTTCCTTTTAATCCTTCCACCTCTACTCCTGATTCTTCCTTGTTGTTTTGAAGGTAAATACAGTCAGGAGAAATTGGCTGTTCAGAACTGCAGCGGTCAATTATACAAAGCACTTTTGCTCATGCGAAGTTAACAAGAAGGAAAAAGAACCATCCCACAAATAATGGGAGGTTCTTTAAAGAGTCATGTAAAACAAAAGTGTTCAGTTTTGAAGCTTGGCTAAGCTGTGTTGAGTATAAGAGATGCTATTACAGGAAGGATGAAATGCTTGTAGGATTTGGGGAAGGGTGGGGGAAAGAGAAGCAGTGCTTGTAAACTTCGTTAATCTTCACAGAATTCTAATGTCTGTGACTGGATGTGTATGCTTCTATAATGTATTTATGCAAAGTAAATATAGTGCTAGAGTTTCAGGTTAGTGTAGAAAAAGTATTTAAATTCACATACTAAGCTTTGTTTTTCATCCAGGGTAAACTTTTTTCCCCTTAGTAATAAAACAAAAAACCATATTATTTTAAGGGAAGGACACTTGAAAGAGAGTTTAAGACTTGTGTGCTGCACTTGAGCAAACATCCTCAAACCTGCTAAGCTTAGAAACTCAATGAAATTGAAGTTTCTGTATGGAACAGACAGTTCACAGTGAATGTTCTCATCACAGCTCAGGTTGAGGGGAAAAAACATTCTATCGCCAAGAAAACAAGGACTCAACCTAGTTCTTTGCATAAAGATTCGCTCATATGTTCAGAATTTTGCAAAACTGGTTCAGGAATCTTGACTTACACTTAGCAAACTTACCAAAGCCATCCTTGAATATTACATAAATACCTGCATACCATCTGAAGGTGAGAATGCTGCCTGTGGGTGCATGGCCAGAAGCTGCTTCTTGTCAGCTGATGGCTGTAATTTCCCTTCCTCAGACCTTCATTTTGCACCTTCCTGAATGACAACTGACCACTTTTCACCAGCAGGTAAAGTGCTGTGGTACTATGGATTACTTTCCAGTCCCTGTTGGGAGACTGTCCACAGGGCAATTTCAGTAGAGCAATAAATGTGCTACCAGCCATGCCTTTGTATAGCTTTTGTTGCAAATCTGTACAGCAGAGAAGTCCTATGACAACTCTTGAATTCTGAATTTTGAAGATATGAGGAAGAGGTCCTGTTGGATTCAAATAACTGATACTGCTGAAATTGTTTGTGCAGTTTTATCTGCTCTTGCGCTATTGAATTCAGGCCAGAGTATTCTTGTCAATTGTGCTGTGCAGATGGCAGGTCTAGTTCATCCATCAGTCTTTTAAAATGTATCCATCTTTAAAGATAAGTCTGCGCAAACTAGAAGCTGGGATGTGTGAAATTACTTTCACAACAAATTTTCTGCTCAGTGCATTCCAAAAGAACTTAGTATGTAAAGTGATTTAATGGGCTTTCATCGAGGTGAATCTGTTTCAGATTCAGATTGCATGTATCAGCTCTGTTTTAGCTGGGAATGCTTGGACAGAAGGAGAAGACAGAAAATTGACTGATCTCGATCTTGAAGAGATGTCTGTTAAGAGTATTTTCCCAAGAGTAACACTGCATATGGTAATAAAACTAAGATATATTTGTGTAAAATGATTAGAACTTCGGCAATTGGAAACTAAAGAAACCCTTCATTCATATGGTCTGTATGAAGCTTGCTTTTAGATAGAAGTGGCTCTTCTTGGTATATCCTATTGTGAATGCTCAGTAAATCAAGACATTGAAGTGATGTGTTGGTTTTGGAAAATACTGTTTTCCCCGAAGAGAAAGAGGAAACTGTATGGAGTGATGACTTTTGGTAAATATCCAGGTCTACACTGCTTATCAATGAGCTTCAAATTGCATTTCCTCCTCTTACTTTTTCCTCCATGCCTTGTGGAAGTGACAAGAAAAGACAGGCAAAATTGAACCCCATGGCATTTGTTAAGAAGGTGCCCCTGAACAGGGAGGCGTTTGAGATTTGGGCCTTCCATTTGAAAGCAGAATATGAACTTGCCCTCAGCAGATGCAATGGTTTGAACATGAAAATCTTTCAAATATTATTTGCTGAAAACATTCAGCAAACTTTTAAATCCTTTTATATTTGAATACAGTTCAGCACATGTTGTTTAAGCCTGCTTTAATTTGTTGCATGCAGGTAGTGAACAGAACACAGTGGAGAATCCTCAGCTGAAAGTTTAAGTAGTTTGATTCAGGCTTGGTCATTTAGGAAGAAAGTGTTTCTTCAGAAAATAGGATAAAGGATGAATATGCTGTGTCTTGGTCATCATTTTAAGTTTGTTTTGTCTGAAATAACGTATTGGTCACATTTTTATATCTTAACTGACCAGCTCTTAGAGGGTGGGAAAGAAAGCAAGCAGAGGAAATACGTGGCTTTTAATCAGTTCACTTGAAGCTATGCAGTTCTTGCGTGTACCTGGAGGTATAGGAAAAGCTTTTTATTTTCATTTGTTGACAGCATTTGGAGTTGATACACGTCTGCCCTGTTAGATTTTGTATCAGCTCACCTAGCCTTTCACTTCATGTAAGAACAGGACATGTAGCAAAACCTTCATTAGCCCTATGTGCAGATGATGACTGTTCCTTTTGCTAATTTCACATTAGCATTAGAGAAGGAATAGGCAATTTTTGGCATTCTGTTAATTATGCTTATCCTAGTATTTACACAGACAGATTTTGAAGACTCAAAAAAATTGGTGTGGGCGGCTGGAGAAGGAAGCTTTATTGAAAAAATACTGAAGTGTTTTGGAGATTTACTTTCAATACAAACACAAACTACTTGCAGGTTTCATTTTTTATCAGTAGTAATAGGTTTTCCATACATCCACAAATGTTTCTTATGTGAACAGCTGACAAAAGCTCAGGCTTTCAGGGTAAAGTGAGCTGTCTTCTGGCTGCAACAAAGACCTTTGGAGGTCTGGGGGGGAGGAAAGCTTTCTAGAGAAGCACAAGTGTAAAGGCAGCTGACAACATGAGTACAAATCAGAAATATATCCAGAAACTTAACTCCTCACAATTGCATTGCTCCTGAAGGAGAGATATTTATTTTAATCTTATTGTCTTTGAAGGATGTAATTTTTTATCAAAGAAAACAATGTGCTGCTGCTTTTGGGGCTACAAAATGCTGTAGTGCAGAATAATCAAGTTAAAATGAAGGGAAGGAAGTGCTTGTTCAAGTGGTGTGATTTGTCTTGTGGTGAGGAACAGGGGTGTTACTGGGGTTAAATGAGATTAAATAAATAAACCCGGTAGGTCTAGGAGCTCTTCAGTTATCCTGCATCTGACATTATGTGGGAGAGCTCCTGCAATACTAGTTCAAAGTAAGTGACTCCTGATGTTTGTAAAGCAGTATCTCAATGCCCTTGCTTTTGTAACACTCTTTCCACAACCATAGTACCTTTTATTCCTTGTATGGATTGTTACTTTGATAACTTTAATGGTATTGTACTTATCTCCCCTCCCCACATTTTTAGTTTGTATCTAAATCATTGCCACAAACCCTTGGTCTGCTCTGTGTCTCCTTTAGCTCTTCAGTTGTTTGTTTATGCTTACATTCAACCATGTGACTCAGCAATGCTGTTGAGGGAGAACTTTCTGAGGAAGAAATGCATGTTCTGCTTTGAAGGATGGACACTGTGAGTGATCTGGGGGAGGGCTGCGCTGGCTGAAGTCACATTGAGCCCTCCAGGCTCAAAGAAGAGGAACTGGAGTGCAGCGGCATGATAACAAGAAGGCAGCCCCATTTTACTCTGAGAGGTAAATGACGTCGAAAGTAAACTCCACAAATGGAGCAATGCAGTGTTGCAAAATTCAACTTGTTCATTTGCTAGGAGTGAATTGTCTCGATGTGCAGAACAATATAAAAAACCACTTTGTGCAGCCTTTGCAAACAGATATTTTTAACAGTTTATAAAATATCATTAATCTACTAGTCTTAAACCAACAATAATAACATTCTTCTTTAACGAACACTTGTAATATGATGTGCTACCTCTTTTAAAATGATTGCTATTGAATGCTTTTGTAGGTATCTTGGAGTAAAGAATTATGAACTTAGCTGAATTACACGATCTCAAACAAAATAACATTTGTCTTCAACATTTCATTGGGAACTTAAGTGATATCAAATATTGGAAAAAAAAATATTAAATTCACCAATTAGAAAAAGATTGTTATAGCAGCTCTCAGTCTGTTTACCTTATTCAGTCCTGTGCTGGTCGTACAATCTTACAGAATAATGCAATTCTGCCTCTTGTGCGTCAGTAGGCATTGAGCTTAGTTAGAGCAGATTTCAGAGCACTGGCTGCTTTTACAGAGGATAAGATGCACAGTGTTCACTGAACAATAGAGAATAACTTAAAATTGGTTACAGCCACCTTTTTTCTTTCCTAAGCTTCTTATGCTGTTTTTAATTTACTCTGCTTTGCAGTTACTTAACTGTACTGTATATAAATAAAGATCTTCACATTTTATAATTCCTTTATTAAAGGGCGTAGTACATATTTGAAAACTGTTGAGTTAGAACAGTTCACTGACTTATTGTATGTAGGGCTATCAAAACACAGCATGCTCAACAATAATCTGTGAGTTATGCCATTCAGAATGTTCTTATGCATTAGCGATGAAAGGGAGCTGACTGTCAGATAGATCATGGGTGGTAGTTGTTCTGTACATCCCTCCAAATCCAAATGACCTATCTCTATTGTAAAATCGATCTTTATTTTATTTTTAAAATCCTGCTTGTGGCAAGTTTTGTCAGTTGTTGAAGTCGCATTGTAGTCTATGGAGAGCAGTATTACTTTGGCTCACAGTCATTCTGGGATCTCTTTGGTTGGATACTGTTATGAACATACTACTTTCCACTCATCTAGTTCTCTCAGTTTTTGTTTTGTAGCGTGTTCTTCACCTGTTGCAAATGAAGTCCTTTGTCTGTGACTCATCTTGTTAGCTTTATCCTGTCTCATGTCATTGGGAAGTTTTGGGTACATTGGTTTGTGATAACAAAATACAATAAGAAAACCTTCTGATCTGTTTTGGATTGTATTTTTTCAAGTTTTATTATATAACATCTAGAACCATTTTTAAAGGTCACCTGCAATTTGTGAGACACAGTTCATCCTATGAAGAGCCATATGCATTAAGACTGACTGAGTGTAGCAGTTTGCTTTTTTTTTTTTTTTTTTTTTGTGGTTTTAGAACCTGGTTGCCCCCATGAAAAGATGAGTGTGGGTTATACTAAGACATATCTGTAGGGTGTATCGCTGGGTATTCCTAGTGCAAACATAGCTTTTGTTACATCTGTAGTTGAACATAGACTCACTGTGGACTCAGTAACATAGGTGATGTTGCTGGGCCTTAGCCTGAGTTTAAATCAGTTACATGTGCTTTGAGGCTTATATTGCTAATGTGGAACCTACTGAAAGTGAATGACTGATTGCAAAGCTTAAATCTAGTTTTCACCAGAAACCCTTGGAGTTGGATTTATGGAGTACTTTACGTAAATCTGCAGACAAGTGAATAGCACAACAGTAGTTATGCGGCTAATCACTTAAGGCATGTTTGTTGGCACTAAAATGTCTTTTAAAAAACAGTCCTTGCTGTTTTCTTTCAAAAAATAACTGCTCCATAAGAATGGGCTTTAAAAGGAGATTTTTAAACAAAAACAACTCTGCAGGTATTGGGCTTTTTGAATCTTTCAGCAGGCATTCACTGCTCCTGATGGTATGTTTTCTGGCAGCTGAATTTAAGCTATAGGATTTTTGATCTGTTATCAATACAGTTTAGGCCTGTTGTTCTGTTGTTACTATCTGAAGTAGTGTCTAGATGAGAGTTGTCACTACTTAGTCTGTTGGTTTTTTTTGGCAGAGTTGATCTTGTTCTGTTTCTGGGACTCTGATCTCTTGGTCAAGACTGAAGAATATTGACAGGCACACTTACAAACAGCTACAGCAATATGAGTGCACTACTTAGGTATCTACTATTCTATCATACTCCCTGCTGAGATTTGAGCAGGAAGATGCATGAAGTGCAAGCCACATTCTTAATCCTGGATGTCGATACCATGGTGATAGCTGCAAGGAATGATCATATGTTGAAGGTTAGAAAAAAATATTCTGCTTTATTCAGAAATGCAAGACCCATTCACTTCTTTAAACTGTAGTTGTTGGTGCGTTATGATTTTTTTTTTTTTAAATAATTGCTTTTCTCAGTATGGAAGTTCAGGGTAGTGAATGGTAATTCTATCTCAGAGTAGAATGTGAATTGTTTGGTTCCGAGTGTTCTTCCAACCTTCTCAATGAATGAGCACCTGTTTGTGAGATTTAAGTTTCTTTTGTTTTATTGGTATTTTTGTGGTGAAAGGAATGAGTTTTAACTTTTGAAGCTTCTAATTACTCTTCAACTTAACTATGAAAGAACAATGTAACATCTTTTGGTTTTAAAGTTTCAGACGCGACCTTTAACCCCAAACAGCAATGTAATAAAATCACTTGCTTAGATTGAAAAACAATAAAGATTCCTCGTTTACCCTGTCTGTGTAATTGGAACAATGCCGTTCATCTTGGAGAGGAAGAGTGGTAAAGCTTGAATTTACAGCACAGGCTCCAGTACCAATGCCTAAGTGGGTGGGTTGAAATTGGTACTGCTTTTATTTGGGAGGAGTTACAGAATGACTTCATTGATTGTGTATTTTCTTCCCTATTACTCTAGTAACCCGTCTGTCTGTTGTGATTGCTTCTGCAGTTTGCTTCAATTTCTGTTTAACAGAAGTTGATTGCAGGTGACCCACTTGCTGCTTTCTTTCTCACAAAGTTGGGGTTTTTGTTTGCAGCTCAACTTGCAAGATAACTGTCAAATGGAATAGTGAACAACTGACCCTGGCACCTCTCTGCTCTCCCTTTCATGCTGTTTGAGATTTGAAGAATTTTTTTTGCAGGAGTTTTTTTTGTTTGTTTTTTTAAAAAAGGCAAAGATTACCGTATTTTTAAAGGAGTATGTTTCCAAATTTTGTCATTTCAATAAACAACTTTATATTCTTGACTTCTGGATTACAGTTGACAAATAACGGGCCAATTGTGTTTTACATAGAAGACTGGTATATGGATGGAAGACAAGAAGGTAATAGTAGATACAGGCAAAGATGCCACCTTGCATTCAAAGTTCTAGTGTGTTTTTTTTTGTTGTTGTTTGTAAATATACTTCATCTTCTGTAGTAGTAACAAAAATGTAGTACCATAGAACCAATCTTTTCTCTTGTGACTTACACTGTAATCAAATCAGTAGTGGTGTGCAAATACTTGTTGTTGTAGTAAGTTCTAGTGATACCCATCAAATTTATTTTTATCACTTTTTGAAAAAAACAAATAGAAATTTACATATAATGGGAACATGAGTGTATTGGAAGGAAATGGATAACACATCTTATGTACAGTTGAGTTTATCATTTGGTGCTGTCATTGTGCTGCAGGAGGTCCCAAGCTGCAAGTCTACATTTCCCTGTTTCTATTCACTGTGTAAATACACAGGGTGGCAATTTTTGCCCTCTGAAATTTATAGTGAAATGGGAAAAATATGTATTTAAAAACTGAATAGTGGGACTTTGCTGCTTGTATGAAATTGCATGGACAGCTAGCTTTCCTGATTGCTGTTAGGTTTCTGAGAGAGCATAACAGGAGAAGAAAACTTGAAGCACAGTGATGATAAAGCTTTATAAATGTTTGCAGGTTTTCTTCCAAGCAGAACAAGAAGGAAGTAAGAAAATGTTCTTTATACAAATGAGCAATGTGGTTTTGACTCAAGTCCTCAACCCATGCCTCAGAACTTGAATGTATAAATGTTTCCTTTGCAAACGGTCATGTTCTAAAATGTCCATACTTAGGGCAGTTCAGGCATAATTCCCTGACAGCTCCTGTGCTGTTTCTCTCTTTTCCTTGAAGTTCTGCATTTCTTTAAACTCCTGATGGAAAACCTCAAGCATTTCCAGCAATTACTTCTGGATGTGCAAGGATGAAGTCATAGCCACAACCTAATTGTCAAATATTCACTTGCTGTTATGTTAATGTGGGTGGACCTATGTTGCCTTGGAACCTCTTAAGTTGTAATCTTCCTGTATGTTCTGCTGGACATCTTAACAACAGATGGAGATGCATGTGCTGGAGAACCATGGAGTCACCAAGGTTGAAAAGAACCTCCAGGATCATCTGGTCTAACTGCCCAGCTGTCATCAGTATCTTCCATTAAGCCACATCCCTCAGTACCACATCTAAATGTTTCTTGAACACCTCCAGGGTTTGTGACTCCACCACCCTCCTGGGCAACCTGTTCCAGCTCCTGACCATTGTTGAAGAAATTCTCCCTAATATCCAACCTGAACCTCCCCTGGTGCAACTTGAGAAGTTCATGACTGAGATTAAATGGCTGTTTCTACATGTTGATTAGAATGCAATGCAGAAATACTGCTATTGCTTTTGAGAGGATATGTTTAGGAAAAAAAAAATGTGAAAAAGACAGTGTTGATCTTGAATGTGTTACCTTCCATTACCATAAAGTCTTCTCTAAGTTCACATGTTGTGTAATGGGTGACTAGGCAAAAAAAATTTGTTTAGGATTGTGCCACACACAGGAAAGTATCAAAAAGTACAGCCAGAAGATTCATTACTGAGTGAGCTACCTATGTGCTCATTCATTCACATTCTCTCCATGCCATGAATATACTTAGCTAAGTATTGGTTTCACCAGTCTCATCCACTCAAATTCTGCATTTCATCTTGCCTAAAACTAACTTTAATCCAGTCACTGAAGGCAATAAGAAAAGCTTGCTTGGGCTCGAGTTAGCTAGTGTGAATAATATTCTTCAAAACAAGAATTAATTACAGAGAATTCTGTGTTTTAGAAGTCCACAGTGAGGTGACATATTAATGGAATTTAGGAACTAAAGAGCATGTTAATGGGTTTGAATTTAAGTACCTAACCAGTGGAGGAAAATAGATCATCCTAGTCCAAAAAGCAAAGTTGTTTGAATGTAAGGAACTTGGTCTGGTAGAGCTGTTGGTAGAAACATCTGGGTAAAGTTGGTGGGTTTTCTTTTTTTTTTTCTTTTTTTTCTCCTTGACAGGGGAATAAGCAGCTAATAAGCTTGGCCTTTCCTGTTCATATCGTCTACCTCCAGTGCTCCAGTGTTCATTGTCATGGTCACTGGAAAGCAGTGACTGAGAGGACATCAGTGTGTTCGGGACTTTCTTTTGACCTGACGAGGTTTTGCTGAACCACCTGTTTTCTGATCTTGTCCTCTGTGACAAGTCTGTCCTGCTGTGACATACCTCTGAGCTTCTATGGCTTCTTTGTTCTTCTCTTACATAATTTTCTGATCTTGTCTGACCCTAGTTTACCCTCTGACCTATGTCCTTCTTTGATTTACTTTGATCTTCTGATCTCTTGTCATCTCTGACCATCTCTTTTGCCTTCTTTTTTTTTTTTTTTTTTCTTCCCTGTTCTCCTCTGTCCTGCTGCCTTTTTCTTTGATCTTCTCTTCTCTGACCTTATTTTTTTTCCCCCGTGTTGTGTCCCTGTCCCCTCTTCTATAACCTTCTCCAATGTACTCTGAGCTCATATTGCTGTACCTGACCTCTCTCACCCACTCTGGCCTTTTCATGGACCTCCTCTCTCCCGTCCTTCATTGGTCTTCTCTTTTCTGTTCTGTTCTCTGGCTTTCTTTTTCTGCCATGCTGTCTAGCATTTTCTCTCATCTCTTCTCTGATGTTCACTTTTTTAGGCCTATTCTATTCTCTAATCTCTTCAGAACACAGCTAACAGAAGCAGCCTACAGATGCATCAGTTAGTACAGCAGTTTCTGGTTTGGCTTTGGAAACTTCAGGATGTTTTGGGAACACTGAAGGAATGTATGGCAACCCTCTGAGAAACTTGGGTTCACTCTCTGCTTTTACGCAAATATAAAGAAAGCAGAGACACAGTGGTGTGGGCTTGAGGAAGTTTTAGCAGCTTACAGTGAATGTAATAGCTGCCCTTGACATAGAGTGCCTGGAGCCTTTGCTATAGCAGCCCTCTGACTAGGAAGGATTCATCTGCTGCTTGGCAGTGGCCTGTGTGAGAGCTGGTTCCAAAGCACAACTGTTCTCTCTGTATCTTGTTTTTCCTCTGCCCATTTCACATGACAGAAGGGGAAGTGACTCTAAAAAAATTATTGTGGCAGGAGAAGGTAATGTACCTACCTTAAAGTATTATTTTCTAACTTGGAAGCAGATATTGCTGCTGCCAAACTTGTGACAGCAGTTATTTATTCATTTGTATACCATTCTTATCTTGACTTGCTACAATAACTTGCAAGGTCATCCCTTCCATCAGCATTCAGTGCTTCCTTGGAGCATGGGACAGTGAATTCTTGGTGCGAGTTCTGGTGTAGTTTATAATTCATGTTGTTGCATGGTGATTAAACATGGTAACAGGATTTCAGGTAAAGCTGGAGATTGCCACCACCAGTTACTTGACTAGTTAATACTTGAAGGGCTGTTCATTGAAAAGATAACTATAAATGGTTGTCTTTTGTGAACAGCAATAAAATAAAAAGATTTGCAGTACTGAATTTTCATGACTTGATCCTTGATAAATAACGTGGTTTAGGAACAATGAGACATACTTTCTGTAAGTGTTTGTACCTCAGCATTACTAAGTTATTTTGTATTAGTACTTTAGGAGCCCTTTCTTTTGACTGTTGTGTGGAATCAGGTTAATCTTGGGGAGACCACTTTCTTTCCTTAAGGTCTTTGTAGAAGCTTAATTACAGTGGATTTATACATCTCAGTTTGGCAAGGCCACTTTCTATAATTTTGGTTGTTGTGAAGTTTCCAGGAGACTAGTGAAAGGTTCAGTGGCTGCTGGTCTGCTTTGATCTTCACCCTTACCTTCTCAGAGGGGCTACCCACATTCACAAAGGCAGTCTGAATTGAACTGTATGGAACCTCAGTACTGGTTTTCAACTGTGTTGTGTTTGGGACAGTCCTCTATTTTATCCATCCTATTTATCTAATTTTATATCCTACATTAATGTGCCACCAAAATCTTTCAGTGCATTGAGGTACAAATGAAACTCCCTACCCGGTGTTTAGGATGTAGAATTAGAGCCTGGAGGCTTTGTTATAAACCGCTAACATTACTGCTGTAGACAGTTGTGGTTGTTATGATTTTTAAGCATCCTTCAAGTTCCATGTTTTACTAATGTCTTAGCTTCTTTTTTTCCTGTAAGTGTAGCTTTACTTGGATGACAAATATGAAATTACCCTTTTTTGGTATTTCTGTGATAGCATTGAGTCTTATTCCTTTAAATTTTAACTGGCTTTTTTCTTTTTGAGAAAGTCAGGAATTTTCCCCCTTTTTTTTTTCTTTTTTTTTTTCCCCCAGGTCCATTAAAATGTGAGTAACAGAGGTGATTCCTGAGTGTCTGTTTTGAACAGATACTTGGCTGGTGGCTTATGAACTATATTTATTTTTAAGCATCATAAGTTTTTTCTTGCATTACATACAATTCTAACAATTGTACTGCTGAACTATGCTAATATATTG